AAGTGATTGGATATTAGAACAAAAAGGTTTTTTTTATTGTGGATCTTGCCAGGCTTGTTGTAATACTTTAAGAACAAATAAAAAAGTTGAAAATTTCTATTCTTCAGTCACTAAGAGGGAATATCATATTAAATCCTTAATTACGTGTCACTCCACTTATGTTATCTATCTTTTACAGTGTAGTTGCGGATACCAATATGTGGGAAAAACTTCACGTCAGCTTAAGATTAGAATTAATGAACATTTGAGAAACATCAAAAAAGGTTTTCCTAATCATAGTGTATCTAGACATTTTTTTTACAACATCATAATTCAGACCCTAGCTCTAAGTTTTTTTGCTATTGAAAAAGTGACCAGGAATTGGAGAGGGGGAGATATATCTAGAGCTCTTGGTTTTAAAGAATCCAAGTGGATTTTCGAACTACGTACTTTAATCCCAAGAGGTCTAAATATTGATTTTGATATCAATAAACTTTTATAAGCCAGCAAGTGGATGGGGACAGAGTTAAGGAAAGTAGTTAAAATATGTATTGTTTTTACCCTTTTTTTAGGGATATATTATCTGCTGAACGACTGTGTTTCTTTTTAGTCACTTAAACTTTTTATATCTATACTTTTAAGAGCACTTTATTTGTTGCACTTTATGTGGGTATTAAGGTGTTTAGACAGCACTTGAAATTTTATTAAATATGTTTTCTATATAATAATGGATGTTTTATATAATTATTAATACCCATTTTTATATTTTTTTCTTTTTATTTTGATATATATATTGTACTTGTGTTTGGTGAGGACATGATTAAACTGCCCACTCTAAAGATGGCTATCCTAGCCTCACAGTACATTAGCATCTTCCTCAGTACGGAAACTGAGAATGGACACTGCCGATCCCCCTCTTCGCGAAACCGGAAGTGACGCGACGGACTGCTTTCTTCAATATGCGCGTCACCGGAAGTGACGCGACGGACTTACCGGACAGAATTTTGAGCACCCTCAAACATCAGGTCACCCACGTTTCAAGTATAACGTGTTGGTTGACCATATTGGAGGATGAACTTCGGCATATTTTATTTATTATGTGATATTTTGTGCAATGTTTTATTTTGTATTGCATTGATAGAGTATATTTCCGAACCGGATGTGGAGCCATATTGGAGGTGGCAGTACACATCCGGTTCGGACCATATAAGGTAACTGCATTTTAATTAGTGCTACATGTGTAGCTAATGTTTGTAATTATTACTCTATGTGAAGCCCTATATATGTAGTAGCAGGTTCATTGTAACCTTGAACAGCACTTGAGGAAGACCACTTTATGGTTGAAACGCGTTGTGCAATATCTTTTATTTGTTTTTATTTGTTTTTATACAAATAAATGTTTTTTATGTATCCTGATACTCCTGGCTCCTGACTCCAACTTCTCATCAGATGATTACTGAGAACATTGAAGGATTTGCCTGAAGAGTGAAGGAATGCGTATGTCCCATTTTAAGTGACATATAAAGCTACATAAGTCCCGAGCCTACTTTAAACGGCTCAGAAAAGTGTGAGTGATTTCAGCTCATAATTTCCTTTTTGCCGTGTTTTATATACAGACTACACTATGTTTTCTTTTATGTTTGTATTTTCTGTATAGGCAACATCTACAGTGTATACATATATTGCATATAAGGAGGAGTTAACTCTTACCAGACTTATGTCCATGCCAATTATTGGGGAGCCCTTTAACCGCATAGCTGTTGACATTGTGGGTCCTCTAGCCAGACCTAGTCCATCTGGGAAGAAGTACATTCTTACCGTGGTGGACTATGCCACCCGTTACCCAGAGGCAGTAGCTATGTCCAATATTGAAGAACAGACCGTAGCTGATGCCCTGGTCAGAATATTTACTAGAGTGGGGTTCCCTAAGGAGATATTCTCAGATCAAGGAACCCAGTTTACCGCTGTACTCACTCAGCAGTTGTGGAAGGTATGCAATATTAAGCCCCTGTTGAGCTCACCTTACCACCCCCAAACTAACGGTCTCTGCATTAATGGGACCCTCAAGCAAATGCTGAGGACCTTTACTGACGCCTGCAGAGACTGGGAGAGATTCCTGCCTCACCTGTTATTCACATACAGAGAGGTACCCCAGGAATCTACTGGGTTCTCACATTCGAGTTGCTCTATGGGAGGAGGGTCTGTGGATCCCTGGACCTCATTAGAGGACACTGGAAGGGAAAGACAGAGCAGGAGGGAACCCCCATAGTTCCATACTGGAACTCCGGGACTGCATGGAGCAACTGTCTCCGATGGTAAGAGAGAATCTCCAGGCGGCCCAGGGGAGACAGAAAAGATGGTACAATCGGGGTGCCCGGCAGCGCACTTTCAAGGTTGGGCAGAAAGCTTTAGTGCTCAAGCCTGTAAAAACCGACAAGCTGCAGGCCTCTTGGCAGGGCCCGTATCAGGTAGTAGCACAGCTCTGTGACACTACCTATGTCATTGCCAGCTGTGCAGATGAAAGGATCCAGCGGTCCTTTCGTGTGAACATGCTGAGGGAGTACCAGGAAAGGCAGGAGGATGTTGCTGCAGTATGTGCCCCTGCTGCAGACGACTCGGAGAGTTTAACCCTCCCTGACTTATTAGAGAGAGACCCCCAGACTGACCTTACTAGCCTTGTACACCTAGGGGACCGGTTAGGCCCCACAGAGACGGAACAGGCTAAGCAGCTTCTGTGGCTATACGACCCTGTACATAAGGTAGAGACCCCTGGACAAGCACCCCTCAGACAGCCACCCTACCGGATCCCTGAAGCAGTCCGAGAAGGAATGCGGAAGGAGATCCAGGAGATGACTCAGTTGAGCCCTCTGACAGCCCCAGGACCTCGCCTGTAGTCCTTGTGCCTAAGAAGGGTGGGACCACCCGGTTTGGCGTGGACTACAGGCAGCTTAATGAGAAGATCACCACTGATGCCTACCCAATGCCCAGGGTAGACAAACTGCTGGATTGCATAGCCAAGGGAGGCTATTTAACCACAATAGACCTATGTAAAAGGTTATTGGCAGATTCCCCATGCCGAGGATGCTATCCCCAAGTCGGCATTTGTCACCCCGTTTGGCCTGTACCAATTTAGGGTCATGCCATTCGGGATGAAAAATGCCCCGGCTACCTTCCAACGTATGGTGGATAGGCTCTTCGATGGCTTCCAGGATTTTGCATGTGCATACCTGGATGACATTGTGAGCCACAGTGGGTCTTGGGAAGAACACATGGTTCACGTAGGGGTGGTTCTGGACAAGATTCAGGCCGCAGGCCTGACCTTGAAACCAGACAAGTGCCATCTAGGTATGGCTGAAGTGCAGTATCTGGGTCACAGAGTAGGGTGTGGGAACCAGAGACCAGAACCGGCCAATGTAGAGGCAGTAGTCAACTGGCCCACACCCTGCACGAAGACCCAGGTACTAGCCTTCTTGGGGACTGCAGGGTACTATTGGCATTTTGTCCCTGACTTTAGCACTATAGCCAAGGCCCTGACTGACTTGACTAAGGAGAATTTAGGCAGGTCCTGTGGTCTCCAGCTTGTAAAGCCACGTTCCAAACCCTGAAACAAGCACTTGTTAATGCCCCTGTCTTGGCTGCCCCAGTACCTAACAAACGTTTCCTTGTCCACACAGACGCTTCCATGTTTGGACTGGGGGCTGTGCTGAGCCAAGTCGGGGAGGATGGTGGAGAGCACCCTGCTGCATACCTAAGCAGAAATTTACTACCAAGGGAAGTGAGCTATGCGGCAGTGGAGAAGGAGTGTTTGGCCCTGGTTTGGGCACTTAAAAAGTTAAACCCCTATTTGTATGCACAGGAATTTTCATTGATCATCGACCATAACCCATTGGTCTGGCTTAACCGGGTCGCAGTAGTCAATAGCAGGTTGCTGCGGTGGAGCTTAGCCCTGCAACCCTATAACTTCACTATCAGCTACCGACCCGGTAAGCAAAATGGCAATGCTGATGGGTTGTCCCGGCAAACAGACGTCACTCCGGCCTCCTAGTTCCGGACATCCCCAAGTTGACCCGAGAAGGATCAAGCCGGGTCTGCAGGAGTGTCCCACAAATATATAATATATATACACACACACACACACGCGGCGTGTGTTTGTGCTTTAGGCTGCACACCCTAATGGAATAGGCTGTGCACACAGAGTTAGCACACATCAGAACCACAACCAGTGAACACCAGACACATACAGAACATAGAGATAGCACACACTAGACAGACAACATACAACCAGTGGACACTAGACACACACACACAGAACACAGAGCTAGCACACACACCAGACACAAACAAAACATACACCCAGATGAAACACACCACACACACTATGGGGGAGGACAGAGTTAAACTCCAAATTTTTGCAATTCAAGCCCCAATGGGAAAAATAGCCTTTTGTGACTATAGAGGAGTTGGAGTATTTTTCCAGAACAGCTATTTTGGCCTCAGTTTTTTCTTTCAGATTTTAGTTTAGTAAATAACCCTGCCAATGCCCAGGTCTAAGCAGGGTTCCCAAACTTTCAATTTGTGTTTCTGGACAAGTGGATTGTCAGAACGTATAAGTATATTGGGCTACCACTTTAGTCCACTGAAGAAGTAGATTTTTACATTTTTTAAAATATTTCCATGGCCTTTTATTACATTGCACTGTAGTTCCCCGGTCTATGTTTTTAAACGGTTAACAAGCCATTACAAATTGTAATAAGGAGATTTCCCCTGTTTGTGCAAACTGCTCCCATAATCCAAGGACGTGATTTAGAACATGCCATTATTACTTGGTTATCTTTGGAGTAATTATTACCAAGTTAACGCCATTGTGCATGGCTTAAGTGGTACAGTCTACAAGACAAGTGATAGTGCTTCAACAATTGTCTCCTCTGGTGATTGCACCATCATCACCAGGAATAGTGACACAAACCCTCAGATCAGAGGTAAACCTAGTAACATATTAAGACAGCATTGGAATAAAGTAGGTGCATACAGATTTCAAAATGTTCAGACAAAATATTAGTGAAATAAAACGTCAAACTTTTTTTTTTTTACATTTTATTAAACACTCTTGAAACCAGACAAACAAACTTTGGTCTGAACCTCTTTAGAAATAGTTCAAGTATTAAGTCAAACTCCAATAAACAGAGTAACGATTAACATACACAAACATCAGACCAATTACAATACTGCTTATATAGAAAACCAAACCAGTACAAATCAGGTTAATAAATGCATATGCTTGTTACCACCTGGTCCAGTCCGCACATGACAAAACATTGCTTTTCAAAACGGTAATTTTAAATGAAAATGGAACACAAAATAAAAAAAGTGCTGCATATATTACTTTTTACTTGACGTTCGGCATTAGCTTTGTAAACCAGATTCTCACAATAGATATAAATTTCTTCGGTGTAAGGTGTGTCAGCAGTGAATGAAGTTATTTGGAAATTTACCCATGATGATGATCTGAAGAAGTTTATAAAATATATTTATGAGAATTTTTTTTTACTTAGAGGCAGATATGTAAAAAAGATGCTAGCTATCTCTAAGAAAGGAAAAACACTTATCTCTGATTAAATGTAAATGTAAACACTTATGTCTGATTAAATGTAAATGGCTAGAAACCTAGTCTACCATTAGCTGTGAACTATGTGGTGCAAACATTATGGAAAATGATCTACCACAGTTGAAATTCCCAAAGGTAGTCATCAAAGCTCTAAAACAAAGACTACATGGGTCACTAAAGTAAAAGCAAATCCGTGTTACCGAACAAGCATCGTGGAAGTTGGATTTAACTAAAACGTGGAAGGAAGAGTACTTCGCCTGTAAAAACACCCAAGTCCACTTAGTGTGTAATCAAAACACAAGAATTCCACTGAACATAACATTCTAAGAATTTAAGAAAGTCTATGATATTCTTCTCCCAATCAAGTTTACCAGATCTGGGATCACTTCTCAACTAGCTGTCCGTAAGCTTAAATTGTTTATATCTACAGACCAAAAAAAGTATTAATAAAAAATAAAATTTAAAAAAATGTCTAAGGGCAAATATTCACATGATGATATGATATGAAAACAACAGCCAGATTGTCTTCACAGTTCAACTGTTTTATGATATATGTATCTCTGAACTTGAGGAAAATAACAAACCATTTGAATGAATGGATTGTTCATCTCATCCTCATTAAATTTACTTCGCAACACTGGTGTGATTTCACTTCCCAGATTCCACCTTCGGTGTACAATTTATACTATTACTCACAAAAGCATCATGTTTCTTGATGATGTAAGCATCATAGTGAATCATCAGCATTCTCAGAAAGAACACAACCTATTTCTTAGCCAAGTATCTGAACACAAAGAGTGTTTTGATGCACGGTCAAATTTTGATATTAACGTGCAGCACAGTAAAAGATCTACATACTTGACGTGCAACCAAGAAAGGTGATCATAAGACAATGTTCAAGAGTCCAGACGTACCTACGTCCTTCACCATACTGACGAAAACCTTGACCTAGAACCGAACAAAGCTGAATATGAATCTCTATGCAAATAGCATTATAAATAATGTTTTCACCCACACTACAATTCCTTACCTATTTTAAATTAGCTTTGTAACTTTGCAATGTTTGGCAAAAACTCAAAAGTATGATATGCTGAAAACAGATCAACTCCTATTCCATGCGCCAAGCAATAACAAAGGGCTTGAGGAGTCTTCAATGGCACATGGAATAGACAAATCTAGAAAGGCACAAAGGATTTAACCATTAGTCCTTAGTCAACCCTGCCATATACCATATTCCTTTTCGATAGCTAAAAAACGCTCACATCTATGGATGGAAAAATCATCATCACATGCTTATATGTGTAAAATGAGGATTTGTGTACAAATGTCTTTCACCCCAAGGTAAATATCAAATAGCCAACATCAGAAGTCTTTCCTTAAATGAATGTTAATTTAATAAACATTTATTTTCTCTAATGGTGTGATATTGTTTGGTAGATTAATCCTGTTCTGTGCTATAATTTCTTCTATCATGAATCACTGGTGGTCTTGTGAATGAAAAGAACATAGAGAGGCACTATCATTCTGACCCAATCACACAAAATATAATTTGCTCTGTGACGTTCATCAAAGCAAGAAAAACTCCCAACTGGACCCCCAAAGACAATACCCCACCCACATTAACACCTAGCCTCCAAGCGCACATCTTATAACCAACCAAAAAGCCCTCGGACATAGATAGAGTGCTACCAAACCAACCCCAATACAAACACGGCCAGTCACCAAAATCGACTCATAATCGAACCATAAACAAAAATACAGAATACCAGTTGAATGGACAAAAATACAAATCTGCACATAAGGGGACACCACGAACACGCAAAAACTACTGACAACAGACAAGCTCATTAGAAGCTACAAGGTAGAAACCTAAACAAACCACCCCATTCTACTCGGGAATTAGGAAGCTCGCAACCACCCGAACTCAAACCGACAATAACATCTAGGCTACAACTCAGCATAAAAAAAAACGCACAACCGAACCCATACACATTCCAAAATGTGAGATTGTATGATTGTACTGTACCCCACCTGTTAGTGTACTTGGATCCGCTATAAGATCCTGATACACCCCCTTAATACGGTGCACATACACCGATCGAAAGTTGTATTGCTTCTCTATGACTCAATAATGCTGTACCTGCTTTTATTGCTGAAAAAACAAAATAAAGAATTGTAAAAAAATAAAATAAAAGCAGGTTCTATACGTGGAACTACGACAGCAGGAAGGATCATTCCACCGATTCCACTGGCCAGAACTATCTGAAAAACAATATCACTACCATATATTAACTTTCCTGTATAATCTTCCTCTGATATATGTAATGGAACGTGAAGGATCATTTGAAGCTCTCCAACATATGAAGAATAGTCTATAAACACCGATTCAGTTTGACTAGTGGTTTTCTACTTGATTTATCGATAACTGCAGAATGGTCAGATTTTTGAAAAAAAACTTACAAGCAAATCCTCAGCTCAAGGCATCTTTAAGATTTATATTGACATCAAGCATTTAGAACCACAGTAATTGTGGCCTATGTTTGCAGAAACTGAAATCCTAAACACCTGCAAGATAAAAAGGTTATATGAATACCCGTCTAGTGAAAAACTCATCTTATGGACCATACCAACAGAATGGATAAGTTCTTTGGTGTACAAAGGGCTGACTCAATCTATATGTTTAAAAAGCTTTTCTACATTTCAACAGTAAAGTGGTCAAATTAAGTGATTATCGAGAAGAAAAAAAAAAAAAAAAGATAGGTTTTTTTTTTTTTTTAAAAGGACACTTAAGAGACTGCATGCAGCTTTTATGAGTTAACCAGAACAATAGCCTTAGAAATTTACTGTGTCAAAATAAAAAAACACTTTACTTGACATGGAAACAAAGGAATATTGTTTAACTGTTTACCCAGTGCTTCGATTGAAAGCTCATCCCCATATAAAAATCCAGAATGAAAGTCTTGATTTCAGACCGGGATAATTCAACCTTTCAATAGGCTAATATCAATCAAATGAGTTTCCAAAGAGTAAGGTAGTGACATATACACACCTGGACATTTACACAGTACGACCATAAATGTTTTCACCACACAAATAGAGTCCAAAAAAAAAAAAAAAGATGCTATGGCTACCAGGAATGACACCATTTTCCTATGCCATGATTGTGTACTGTTATTTTTATACAGGTTTTGCACACAAAAAAATAAAATAAAAAATGAAATAATGTATTTATTTATTTTAAACAGGAGTCCCAAAGAATATCAAAAGACCTGGAGTGTCCAGAAAGTTATCACATCATCCTTTGTTCATATGGTCAAAAAAGAGCACTATATAGTTAAAAGCCTAGTATATTTATGTGATAGCAATGGAACCGTGTTTCGTAGTCATGTTTGCTTCAGAAAACAATACCACAGAAAGGGTGAAAATTGGTACTTGTGTCCATGTGTTCTTGCTGCTAAAGTAGGGTACAAGTGTTCACCTATTAATTGTTCCATAGGCAAGTGTCCTTCCACACACCGTTTGTCTTGCTTGATACCAGTGTCTATCCAAGCTATCGTCCCTGCTATCCAGTAACAATGTCCATTCACCTTTCGTTCTACTGTCTGGTACTCAGCAGGTGAAACTATGGTGGGTGGACACTGACACCTCGCATCATGAACAAACGATGGGCAGAGAATGGTTCTCAGTAGCAGGAACAAAGGATGGGTAGAGAATGTTTCTCAGCAGCAGGAACAAATGATGGGTAGAGAATGGTTCTCAGTAGCAGGAACAAAGGATGGATAGAGAATGGTTCTCAGCAGCAGGAACAAAGGATGGGCAGAGAATGGTTCTCAGCAGCAGGAACAAAGGATGGGCAGAAAATGGTTCTCAGCAGCAGGAACAAAGGATGGGCAGAAAATGGTTCTCAGCAGCAGGAACAAAGGATGGGAAGAGAATGGTTCTCAGCAGCAGGAACAAAAGGATGGGTAGAGAATGGTTCTCAGTAGCAGGATAAAAGGATGGGTAGAGAATGGTTCTCAGCAGCAGGAACAAAGGATGGGTTGTCCCTGGCAGCATGAACAAAGGATGGGTAGACACTGGTACTCAACAGCAGGAACAAATGGTGGAGTAGGCACAAGCCGCTAGCAACAGAAACTGGGAAAGGGTAGACAGTGGTACTCAGCAGCAAGAACAAAGAATGTGGGTACATTGGTACCCAGTAATAAATAACAAAGGGTGGGTGGAAACCTGGTACAAAGAATGTGTGGGAGAACACCACTATCTGGCAGTAAGAGTAAGGACTGGGTAGACTACTTACAGATTTATATGGCACATGAACAAAGAAAAAAACCTAGACACAATCATGGGCATTTTAGCAAAAAGGGATTACAACCTCTTCATTCTATGAGCTTGGCTTCCATAAACATAAAACATGCAGAATGAACTCATGAAGATACATTAATGATACGTATGGAGAGCTGGCTGAGCTGAATCACTGGGAGATTCAGAGAAAATGTATGGGAGAAACTCCTTCACAACAAACAATTATAATTAGTGGGAGCTGGATGACTCAGCCAATGTCAAAACCTTATTTTAAATCCGGGACAAATTACAAAGCCATAACAACATTTTCAAGCACCAAAATGCAGTTTTATAACTTTAAAAAAACACATTTGAGCTTGCCTCCCTGTGCATTTACAATAAGACATAGCCGGCTGTTTTAGTTATATTCAGAGATAGAGAAAATCGCTTTCATCTTCAGTAATGGCAATCAAATGTTTTTTCTCTGAAAATACATTGTTTACAACAAAAAGCCTGCAGGGACAGGATTTAGACACCAGAACAACTACAATAAGCTGTAGTTGTTTGGTGACTATAGTGTCCCTTTAAAGTGCAATTCTTTAAAAAAACAAAACAAAAACATGGCTGAGTAAATAAAAAGTAATTCAAACATCCTTTACTGCTATGCAATTGATAAACTTGTAAGTTCCCAACTGAAGTGGATGCATGTTCATGCGTCTTAGTAACCGAGGGGCGCTGCTTGCATTATTTGGGGTGGATGACTGCACGCACAGCAGCGGTGTCCATTTTTTGGTATATCTTAATTTACCAGTGACTTCAGGAGCACAATATGTAGATTAAGTCTATACCTACCTAACTGCAAATTTATCACTCACACAGGGGAATATATGCATTGCATTACAGAACACAAAATAACTAAATCAAGATGGTAACATGCTCTTTTTCTTAAAAAAAAACATAAAATTGAAAGGTATTCCAAAGGAGAAAACAAAACATCAGTTTATGGGTGGCGTGAGCAGACAGAGATTGCACTAGTGTATCTTTCACAAACGTGGCCAGGTTTCATAAACCTAGCTCTACACACAGTGTGCAAGATAATGGAATTTACCCTCAAGCTTAAAAATACAAAAAGTATTGCGACACGTATCACAAACAAGAATGTAACCCTCCTAGTTCTATTCTTGCCTCTACGAGTATAAAGAGATTGTGCCAAGTATGAACGGTTTTTGAGAAATCAGCTTCAGCTGCTCGGTAGGAGAACACGACATAATAGCAACCAGCAAATAAAAACTGGACATCAGAAAGTAAAAGTGGCAAAAGTTTTAGACAAAAGAGTTCTATATAAACTGATGCTTTGCACCAATAAAACTCAACGCGGTTGTAGGGTTGGTTTTACAAAAGATTTTTAAAAATTTTAAAAACATTGAGCTCTGAATGGGATAACAAATGGCTGGGGAAGGTGGCTGCCAAGTTGTGGTGCCTGATCAGACTGGTGGCCACGAGGTGACTGTCGCCATATGCATTCTTTTTCACATTAATACGGCACAGTTTCAGAACTCACATTCCAAAAGAAAAAAAAAAAACCACTCAACATTTAGCAGAGAATATGAGTATTATCTGCATCTGGAAACTCTGATAGACAGAGACAGACCATATTAGATTAAACACAAAGACTGGACAACAATGCAGTGACAAAATTGAACAACGGATTCGTTTGCAATGGGGTCCATAAATAAGCATATACACAGAGAGATGTATATTTAACCAATAAGCTCATGTATACATACACAAAGTAAAAATATAGCACAGAACAGTTTTCATTATGATGCAAAGAATGTTAAGATGTGTCAAGAATTGATAGTTTCTTAATTATATACCCTTGAGGTTTAAAAATGAAACGATTAACATATCTATCTATTATTTTGCTTTGATGGAATCAAAAAGGCATATTGCAGAGTTGTCTGTCATCTATGGTGTCCAACAACGTCTTTCTAAAGTTGTCCTCATATGGGAATTAGGAGGTTTGAACACCATTTGATACAGCGTATTTAAATGCAGTGTAATGTTTTCTCTTTAAGAGTTTATCATTCTAAATATACTCCTTGTTTAAATTGGTTACAACATAAGAATTACAAATGTACTCCAACTGGTTTTGTCAATTTAACGTTAAGGAATGAGGATGTGAATCATGACTGGTATCACTATAAATACCCACAAAATGTTTACTACATCCATAATCTCTCACAAACATCTTGTCCTTTCACGGAATACAGTACACATTGGGATTCATACGAAAACATGGAGTCTTTTTGTACAATTGGCAAATATTTTACACCGGAAAAAAACGTATTACAAATGAGTTATTACATGTGTTAATATGTTATAGACATTAACAAAATAATGAAGTATTGTAGTTTCTTAAAATACATTTTTTTAGCAGAGAGAAAGTTGTAATGACAAGTTTTCTTGAGTTCTGTTATCAAGTCTAAAACATTTTTGAGGACAGTGAAATAAGCAAAGATAGCGTAATCCAGAGGTTAAAGCAGTAAAAGTAACTATTCCAGGTGTAAATCTGCCTTGGAATTGGATATCTGGAAAAGGAAAACAAGAGTTAAAGGAAATGATATCAAGCTAGGGACAGAGATAAACAATATTCAAACCTGTGTGTTTGATAGGAGTACTTTTCTCCTTATCAGTAAAGGGACACACATAAAGGACTTTAACTTGCTGAAAAGCTCTCTGTATGAAGAGTGTGCTCTTTTTTCATTTTGCAAAAAGTGCAGGTTTCAACAGAAATTGACCCTTTTATAAATTAACCTGGTAACACCCCCTTTGGCTTTTAAATGGACAGCAGGTCCGGTTACTTCCTGGTTTATTTAGCTCAGTGGAGTTAAACTTAAGAGGCACCAATTGCTCTGAACACCTGGTTTGCAAAGACTTCTCGTTACGCTGCATTGAGAAATCTGTGATTGGACAGACACAAAGTCTGGGCGGGGTTAAAACGCGAGCACTTGCAAAGGCTGCAGATAATAGACCTGCAGTTTTTGCAAGCTGTTTTCAGATTTACCCCAATGAAAAACCGCATAATTAAATGCATGCATACTAAACAGTGAATATGGTTTATTTTGTATTTGGGCAGTGGAATGTTCATTTAAGCCAGTATATATTTTTATACTACATTCATAATATTATTGTATTGGCATTTACACACAACACTTGTAATCTCTTCCTTTAACTCGTTTTCTTTTTCCAATCCAAGTGCAGATATACAGAATAGGGTTTTTTGCGGTTTTAAATTCTGCATTACAGCTATCTTTGTTTGTATAACTGTGGATAAAAATGCTTTAGACTTGATACAAGTTGGAACGACAGAAATTTCTCTTTGTTCAATAAAAAAAAAAAAGTAATTACAAGAATCTGCAATACTTAATTATTTTGCACCTATATTACTGTCCTAAAATGGCAACTCAAATATCAAGACTGTTATAGTCATATAAATACACACATTTTACTAATACAGGTGGTTCTCATTTAGCGACCTACCTGTTTTATGACCAGGCGTAAGTGCAAGCCATCAAGGGGATTCCCTGCTCTGGTGCACATGTCTACGTTCGGGGAAACTTCCCCGAACATAGACGAAAACAGATTATCCCTCTAATTTATGTTCAGAGAAATTTCCCCACGGGATTCCCTGCTCTGGTGCTTTCGTCTATGTTCGGGGAAGTTTCCCCGAACATAGACATGTGCACCAGAGCAGAGAATCCCTTAACTCCTCACTTACCAACCAATTCGTTCTACAACCGGGTCGTAGGAACGGAACCCGGTCGGTAAGTGAGGAGTGTCTAATTAAAATAGAGGTATGTTCATGTTATCGAGTTACGATCTGTGTTATGGAAAAGTATGTGACCATTTCCAATTACAAATAAGTGCAATTTTTTAAACTCTTATCAGCAATGATAATTAAGGCTTTCTACATCATGCAATAAAAAGTGTTTTGTTTTTTTTGTTTGTTTTTTTTAACCTATCTCGATTATATTGCAGTTTGGTTTTAAACGGTGATAGATTCTTCATTAAAGCGCTTCGTGATAAAAGAAAAACAGAACGTATAAAACGGAAATGGAGGGATAATCAATTAAAGAACCACTATAGGCACCCACTTAATGAAGTGGTCTGGGTGCCAGGTCCAGCTAGGTTTAAACGCTTTTTTCTATAAGCATAGCAGTTTCAGAGAAACTGCTATGTTTACAAATGGGTTAATCCAGCCTCTAGTGGCTGTCTCATTGACAGCCGCTAGAGGCGCTTCCCACTGTGATTTTCACAGTGAGAAGACGCCAGCGTCCATAGGAAAGCTTTGTGAATGCTTTCCTATGGACTGGCTGAATGCGCGCGCAGCTCCAACCACGCATGCGCATTCAGCCGAGGAGGAGAATCCCCTGCCCAGCGCTGGAGAAAGAGCCAGGCGGGATGGGGACCCGGAGTGTGGGGGCACCCTCAGGGCACTATAGTGGTCCTTTAAAGGTTGAGACCGCATTTCGTAATGCAATAGTGAATCTATCATTAATGGAAGGCACATTGCAGAGTTCTATATGGTCAAACCCCCCGATATGCGCTGAATTTTTATTTTTACTGTACTTATTGCCCCAGCAGCACCCCATTTAAGTATGTTTAGGTGAGTGCAGCCAAACTCTTGTTTTCTCCTATATGTATTTATTCAGGAGTCTAGCCAGCTCCTTAGGTTTTGCACCCCTCCCTGTTACAGGTGCCTCAACTCAGGACCCTATTGAAGCATTGTACTGCAGAGAACTCGAGATGTAAGGATTTCCCCAAGTGAGTAGCTCATTTAGCAGACAGAGTAGGACCTGCCAAAGATGGGGTACATTGGCATTGTGGCAGGCTTATGCAATGTATGATCATATACTGTAACTAAACCCCCATTATTTTTTGCCTAGATTAGGTGTTTTTAATAAAACTAAATTGTTCAGCACTAAAATAACTGTTTAGTAGATAAGTGAGTGCGCTGGATTTTTATTTTTTCAAACCCCCCGATATCAAATGATTAAATTAGATTACCCAAAGTACAATTAATTTTAACCCCTCTCCAGCTAGCATAGACAAACAAAGCTCAAACAACTTCACATAAAATGCAATTGTATTAATGATATTAAATTACATGTTTCAATATGCAAGACCAAGGCTGAACATTTCAAGTCCAGAGCTACTAACAAGGCCTAAAAGTTACTCACCACCTTAAAACGCACGTGAACAGCTTTGTGTTTTTAATACTCAATGTGTTCTTGATATGAAGTGTCAGTGTGTTTACAAATGCTGTGCTGTGTGTATGTATATAAATGGGGTACATGGGTTATATTGGTATCGTGTGCATAGGCGTGCGCAGCCTATTGTATAAGGGTGTGCACCCTAAAGCAGAAACACACACGCCGCGCATATTATATATACACATATATAATCACACACAAATACATATATACACACATACTGCTGTGTGTAGGTGCTGTGTGTGTGTGTAAGGGTGCGTATGTGTAATGGTGCTGTTAGTGTGTGCTTTGTGTGTGTGAGGGTGCTGTTAGTGTGTGTATGTGTAAGGGTGTTGTTAGTGTGTGTACGGGTGTTGTTAGTGTGTGTGTGTGTGTAAGGGTGTTGTTAGTGTGAGGGTGCTGTATGTTTGTGTGTAATGTGTGGGGGCCGTTTAGTTAATATCCTCCTTCCCTTCTTACCTTATGTAGGGAGGGGGGGACCGTGCTCCTGCCTTCCCTGGTGGTCCAGTGTAAAGTGAACTCTAGCCCCCGCTGGGGCTAGAGTTCACTCTCGCAAGATCTGAGCGTTGCCGCAGTAACCGCGGCAAGGCTCCGACCGCGCGAGAGGAACCCGGCGGAGCTGCTGGCAAGAGCTCCCTGGGTCCTCTCCTGCCTCCCTCCCTGCGGGTCGGTGAGGGAGATCTTTGAGCTCTTGCCAGCAGCTCCGCTGGGTTTCTCTCGCGCGGAGATCACATAGCGTGTGCCGCAGGGATTAGGGTGTGCCTAGGCACACCCGGCACACGCCTATGATCGTGTGTGAATGCAGGAGTGTATATGTACCCATCCCTCTTCACATTTCACCTCTTGTATTTCCCTCCTGATTTCTATGTTCTATGTAGCCTTGTTGTTTTCCCATCCATGCCCCTTCTCTCTAGATCCATTCTGCTTTTCTCCCTCTATCTTTCAATATTTGCACCTTCTCTTCACAAACTGCTATTTTTTCTGGTTATTACATTTAATGTCCTATGAGGTCCCTCTCCTCCTCGATTCCTGGAGAAGAGGGGCAGATGCATAGTTAGATCAAAATTTATAATGTGAATTTTCCATGGTGTCTGGTGGCACATGGGGACTGTAGTAGAAAACAAAAAAATTGTACCGTGGCTGGTTCTAAACATAGCTCCTTCATGGCTCACTCTGCAGTGCCATCATACATAACTACAGAGCAAAATGCCCAGAGCTGTGTTTAGCACCACCCCATGGACAGTTCCTCACACTGTTCCTTGAAGAACATATAGACCACACCATTAAAAACCACTGATGAAAGAGCACTCATCAAGCATTCCCCCAGAGTTCACCCTGATTGGGCATCTGGGAATTTGTAGTACTATCCTCAGATCATTGGGGGTTAGCCCAGTACTATTCCTACATTCTACTCAAAAAAGAGAAGGACATGATCTTAATTAGTAGGATCAATATAGGGTCAGGAACACAAAAATGTATTCCTGACCCTATAGTGTTAAAACCACCATCTAGCCCCCTTGGGCCCCCTGATGCCGCCATAAATATAGCAAAATCTTACTGTATTCAAGCCAGAAGCTGTAACTCTGCATGCTGTTTGCCTCAGAAAAACAAGCAGTCTGCTGACATCATTAGAAGTGGTAGCCTGATCCAATCACAATGCTTCCCCTGAGGATTGGCTGAGACTGACAAGGAGGCAGATCAGGGGCAGAGCCAGCATGATTCAAACACAGCCCTGGCCAATCAGCATCTCCTCATACAGATGAATTAAATCAATGAATCTCTATGAGGAAAGTTCAGTGTCTGCATGCAGAGGGAGGAGATACTGAATGTTTGGATGCATTTTAGGCAGCCATGACCCAGGAAGGATCTCTAACAGCCATCTAAGGAGTGGCCAGTGAAGTTATCACTAGGCTGTAATGTAAAATCTGCATTTTCTCTGAAAAGACAGTGTTTACAGCAAAAGGCCTGAAGGTAATGATTCTACTCACCAGAACAAACTCAATAAGCTGGAGTTGTTCTGGTGACTATAGTGTCCCTTTAAAGTTTCTAGGAGTTACAGCTTCCAAAGAGGTTATTTTCGAATACTTACTACAATATAAAGAGAGTTATATAGACGAGTCTCTTCCCTAGTTGCAGAATTCACATATTTATCAATCTTTTTTTAGTAAAAATAGTAAAAATAATAATAATAATACCCGGAATGCCGCACATATCAACCACATTCATTTAAGAATGAAAAGTACTACAGCTGTGTTTCTCAAACAATATAAACTCGGCAGAAGTCTTTGATCAATGAAGAATCTGGAAAACTCCCAAGTTTCCTAAGTATTGCTAAAGAATGAGAAACAAACAAGAGAAGGTGTGTATTTGTTATATGTTTCATTTGTGTTCTGCACAAATCATGGTCCCATTGTTTGTCATTTTGTTTTATTGGCAAACTGCACCCATATTAAATACACTGGGCCCGATTATATTTGATTTGGGAAAGTTAGGACACATAAGCTGAAATTTCAGCATTATCTAAAAGGCACTCCAGTCTGTACACCTGGAATTACACTTTAGGGAGGATTTAAAGGGGATCGGTCTTTTCCAAGAAGTTTAAGCTGAACTACCTTAGGTTGTGTGTCCACGTTTAAAGCAGTGTTCATTGTTGTGTAGCAATTCACATTATAAACTGTGATCTAAATATGCCTCTGCCAAACACCTTTATTGGCTGGTTTTGACAACCTACATAATTATATTTGTACACCTGCTTGGAGCTAACATTACTTCTAGTAAAATATTCTAAGGCTGCCAGTATAAGTGAGCTTTCATCGAACACGTAACTAGTGCAGAGGTATAATGTGAAAGTGACAATTTTGTCAAGATGCCAACTTCTAGATAAAAAAATAAAAAATGTAAATATATTTAGGAATGTCTGTTAGACTGTTATATATGGGGAAAAAAATAAAATAAATAAAAGAGAACACTAAAATAAATCAAATGTAATATTAGGTGATAGTTGTCAGATCTTAACAAAAATTATTTTTACAATCCACAAACTGGTTTAATATGAATTCTATATAAAACATGTCTACATCGCAACTGGATTTATTTGGTTTTATTTTCTCTAATATTTTTTTTTAAATTCATTTTTTTTTCTGAAATGCACGCCTGAAACAAATGTTTACTAAAAACCTGAGAGAACGAGATAAGTATATAAAAATTAAAAGAAAATCCTTGCTCTATAAATTGATCTACCTACCTCCATATAGAGATTTGAATCGACAGCATACAAAAAAAGTGTTTTAAAGTTCATCTCTATAGACGTGTCTTTTCAGCCTAGATTACTACGTAACTATATACATATTCTCACCGATGGCGATTTCATACAATACAGCCTTGGTCCCTCAAATTTTATCTTGCCTGGAAGAGTAAAGAATAAATGTGATTTTCTTTGTAAAAAATAAATAAATAAATTCATATAGCCTGGCAGTATTGAGAAGGAAAAAAAAAAAAAAAAAAAAAGAGAAAATAGTGTATAATATTTCTGATGACCACAATAAGAAAATAGTTTCCCTGACATAAAAAAAACAGTAGTAATGTAACCTGAAGAATTGCTGTAGACAATGGTAGCTCCATATCAAGAGTAATTTTGGCGCAAAATTCTAAAAGTGGAATTGTTCCCATGGCGACTCCTCCAGTTGTTTAACAGTCAATACCTGATGGTTCTATAATGCCTGTTTCACTTTAACAATTTCCCCCTGAATCGTCTATTATACATGGCCCACTTTGTGCCACTTTTAAATAAAAAAATTAAAAAAAACAAAACCCCCCCAAAAACTGTATGCTCTTATTTCCTTGAAACGCAGCTACCACCAAAATAGACTTTACTACAGAAACAAATATCATCATGGACAAAACTCTTTACAGACATGTAAATGAATGGCTCATAGGCGTGAGAAGTTGCGCCCAAAATCGGAGTGCTTATCATTAAACCACAATTACTTTACTCACACAACTTTTCTAGAATTATAATTTAGTGCTTCGAGTTGACAAGTCCAGCGATGGCCAACCTTTGGAAATACAGCTGTTGTAGGCTATATTTGCCATGATGATCTGCCTGTTGACCGGATGAGCAGCACAGGAGAAGCACCTACAACAGTTGCGGTTCCAATGTCTGGTCAATGCCATCTCTGTGCACCATGCATCAAGTCTATTGTAACTTATTTTTCTGCTGTGTTTTTTGCAGAGCTTAGTTGGTAGATGGATCATTATTTCTTTCAGTTACAGATCTCAAGAGCATTGTTAAATCAATGAAATAAGAGTAAACTATTCTGAGGCACAAACTGGGCATTTCATGCAAATTAGATTACTCTTTCAATAATGCTCAACGGTTTCAGAAACAATGTCTTTTAATGTCACTGGCAAATCAGCCTGAGAGCTTATCTTAAAACATTATCAAGATAATGTTTGTGTCAAAACTAACTTTTTGTTACAGTGAATCAACCGTGCTGGATTTTAATTAAAACATTAAGAAAAAAAACAATAAATGGGTTAAAAGTAAAACAGCACAGTAACCTGTGAACCGATGCAGAAGACTGTCAAATATTGTAGGATGAGGAATTCAGTCACTAAATATAGTATAAAATATGTAATAGAACAGGTGTATATAAAAACAAAAGCTATAAAAATCAAATGGATGCGTAGAATGGTATAAAAACAAGAAAATATACAGTTTTGGTTTCTTTGCTAATTTAAAGTAACGACATATAAGCAATAAGAATGGACCAAATTTAAACTAAACTTTGCGATGAGGTAAGATTGATATGCAGAACAACGGTTAGCAATATAAGATGGTCTTTTTTAGAAAATGTGGTTATAGGAACCAATCCATATTGTTTTCCGTGATTTGAATATAAAACTCAGTTATTGCATCATGCTTAATAATTAAGCATTAAGCAATTCATAAATTTATCCTTTTTTAATTTTTTTAATTTATTTATTCTATTATATAATGTTATCCCAGCACCTGCTGTTATACAGTATTATTCTATATGCATTTCTTTTCTAACAGAAAAAGTGTTTGTTTTTTTGTGTGTGTGCAACACAAGCTCTATATACCGGCTGCTTTTCGGTTGCTGCGTGATAGTCGCCACGTTTTGCTTTTAAGTATTTCTTTAAACATGGTTTGTCCCCGTCCCTGCCGTAGCTTGCCTCTCAGGAAGGTTGTATGCGAATGCGGAAAAGTCCTTGCTGAAGCTGTAGTCGGAAAAGACGGCAATTTGCAATGCGTAATGAGGCACAGCCAGTCCGGCGGAGATCTGAAGGGAGTAGCTGTTTAGTGTGGTGCCACGTTCCCGTGCTCCTCTTAAACTCTCTCACGTAGTCGTAATTTGTGCCTGACAAGAGAGAACAGAAAGAACATGTTAAGCAATACAATTATGAGATGGGATAGGGTACATGGACTCACTCTGTCACGCTCGCTCTGATGATGGAGAAAGCAGACTGAGTAAAGAGAGAGCTATTCCAGGGAGAAAATGTTTAGTATAAAATATTCCTCTGCTCCACAGTCCTGCTGTCAATATCTATGATGGTCCTTAAAGGGACACGATATACTCACCAGAACAAATACAATAAGCTATAGTTGCTCTGGTGAGTATAATCATTGCCTTCAACCTTTTTGCAGGTCTTTCCAGAGAAAATGCAGTGTATACATTACAGACTGGAGATACCTCCACTAGCCATTCCTCGGATGGCTACTAGAGGTTCTTTCTGGGGCAGTGCTGCACAGTGTGACTGCCATTTAGTGTCTCTTCCCTCATACAGATGCATTGATTCAATGTATCTCTATGAAGATATGTGGATTGGCCAGGACTGTGTTTGGCTTGTGCTGGCTCTGCCCCTGATCTGCCTCCTCGACAGTCTCAGCCAATCCAATGCTTTTCTATGGGAAAGCATTGTAATTGGCTCAGATCAACACTTCTGGTAATGTCAGCCAAGCAGGCAGACCAGGGGCAGAGCCAGCAGATGCAGACTGAAATAAAAGTAAGAATTTTACTATATTTAGGGGGATACAGGGGTAAGATGGTATTTTTAACACTATAGGTTCAGGAATATGTGCTTGCGTTCCTGACCCTATAGTGTTCCTTTAAGAATAACTAAGCAATCTACATATTGCACTACTTCGGTCCTACTGTTGACCTCTGACGGTCTTCAGAAAGGAAAGAAAAGGTAAAGAAATTCTGCAGACAGGCTCTTCAAATTACTGACATGGTCATGGTGCTTGGAATAACCCTTTCAAAAGGGACAATTTTACTGCTCTTTTTTTTTTAAATGGATGTGATAAATTATCTTTAAAAAAATTGTGCATTTTTTGGCCTATGTGAGCATTTTTCTACGGAGTCTGTGGACAGTGTACATACAGAGATGAGGAAGGAATCTATTAAAATAGGGATGATGGAGGAAAAGCGGCAAGCTTGAGGAGCACAATAATGCTGCATGGAAACAAAAAGGTTTCATTTTTAATCAGCTGTAACTTACTTTACAAGTTTTTATATCCTGCTGTGTAAATTGACATTTAAATACATAAAGGAAGATCTTGCAGGGTCTAGAAAGCTTGTAATGAAACAGGAGATAAGCAATTCTAAATAAAACAGAATATGCAATAAAGGAAGTGTAAAGATTATATGACTTTTTACAGGAAGAGTTTAGAATGGCAGAGACTTGAGCAGTGAGACTGCAGGGGCATGACCTACCGGATATACTCGTGACGAAGTCGAGAAATTTTAGTCGTAAACTTTATTTTAAAATGTAGAGTCAACTTATTCATGGATCTGTGCTAGTTTCGATAAAATTTTGACTCCCGAACGACATTCTCCTTGCTGTTCGGGAAGTCGAACAGGCAGGGGTACAAGTTTCAGCGGGGTTCGCAGGCTTACGTAGCCGACTCAGAGATCCATGCTGTCGACGACCATGTACCACTGCCTGCTTTCGAGACACAAGACTGTTTGAATACATGTGTTCGTATATACGAATGATACAAATGGCGGTCACCCAGGGAATGCTTGTTTGTGGTTAACAGCCAGGGGTGTTCGGTGATTACGAGGTGTTAACAAGGGGGACCACACAGAGTCTGTTCGGTAACCGAACAGAAGGGTAACAATTCCATTTGAATGCAGTACCCTCAAGAGTGGTCCTGCTCCAGTATATGGATGATTTACTTCTCTGTGCAGATGATCTTCCAACTGCTGAACACAATTCCGAAGACCTCCTTTGTTTCCTCGCTGAAGAAGGTTGTAAAGCCTCCAGAACGAAACGTCAGTGGTGCTGGCCCTCTGTGGTCTTCTTGGGACATTGCATTTCCCATGGCACCCGTCACCTAACAAGGAACAGAGTACTTGCTATTACAAATCTCTCTCTCCCATCTACCCATCAAGCTCTTCATGCCTTCTTGGGCCTCATCACATACTGCAGGTCTTGGATCCCTGAGGCTTCTCAGCTCATGCAACCTCTCTATGATGCCTTGAAGACTGAACCATTTTCATTGTCATTGACAGCTCGCTCCTGCTACTATGCCCTTTAAAGGGCCATCTCCTCTGCCCCAGCTTTGGGCCTACCTATCAGCGACCATTCAAACTTTTTGTCTCTGAAAAGATGGGTCATGCTTCAGTGGTCCTTACACAATCACATAGTTCCCGTCAACGTCCTATTGGTTATTTTTCATGCATGCTGGACCCCGTGGCTTGAGGCGGTCCTTCTTGTTTACGTGCTGTTTTTGCTGCCAGTGCCTTGCTGGACAAAACTGATGACTTAGCTCTTGGGCATAAACTCACTGTCCTTGCTCCCCATGATATCATCCTGAATCAAGTCCAGCAGAAACATCTCTCCTCCCAGAGACATCTCTGCCTTCAAACCTCCCTCCTCTTGACTGATAATGTCACTCTACAAAGATGTTACTCTTTGAACCCAACCACTCTTCTGCCACTTCCCAAGGGGGGAGTACCACAATACTGGTACAGTCTGGCCATAAATCCTGATGTTCATATAGAACTTCAAGTGAAAAAGCCCATGGTTCCACACGATGAACAGCCTGAGGGCTACTTACATTGCACCCGGTGGTTCAGGAATACCCCAGGTCCTAACACATACTATGAAGAAGAATTATTCAGCCTGGTGGAAATACGCATCACCCTGACAGACCTGTTCTGTGACTCCAGAGGAAATATTGTTATCTTGGTCTACCCACCCATGGAGGTATCACATTTATACCACCACTGGGAGGTGGCAGTTCCTCATATCTCTTTCACCAAATCTCTAATGGAAAGAACTCGGCCCAATGGCCAAAACATGGAGTACCGCAACTCAAGAACAGCTCACATCGAAGGGGGTCACTAAAAGGACCATAAATTGCAAAACAGTCAGTTACCCTCAATATCACACAGAGATATGTGAAGACATCCCTCCTACAGAACAGGACCCGGATGCCCCTCATGACTGTTTTGAACAGATGAAAATGGAGACGACCCATCTCCCAACGGTGCACGAGCCTGCTCTGCCAGATCCTGACTTCACCCTGTTTGTAGAAGGTTCTAGATTTGCCAACGTACAGGGACAATATCATACCGGATATGCTGTCATCACAGAAGACCGAATACTCCAAGCATCTTCACTTCCATCATTTAAGTCAGCACAAGAAGCCGAACTAATAGCCCTTACAGCAGCATGTAAGATGTCTGAAGGGAAGCGTGTTAATATCTATACAAAAGACCCACAGGGTCAAAATTAGGAAGCCCCTAGGTAGAGTTATATGTATGTAAAACGTAACTTTTAATAATAATTATAAAAACATCCATATATTGTCCCATACAGAGACAAACAATTAAAAGGTGGTTTGAAAAGATAGGGAGACCAGAGAAGAACTAAATACAGACTACAGGATGGGGGCACAATGTCTAATTCTAAGGTCACATAAGTGAATCTCATACAAAGTGAAGAAAGCCCCTACCTAGCTGTACTATTCTCATATACTGCTTGATTGAATAGAACTACTGGCACTATGATTGCTCGAAAACCTCTGGCTAGATACAATACTGGGTATTGGCAACAAAGTGATACATATAGTGAATGTATCGAGAAATAGAAGGTGTCAAAGCACCTAGGGAGTGAGAATACAAAGTATCCCCTGGTGTAAAGTCATCGAGTGGAAGGCAGAAAACCCCCTCCCCCACATGAAGAGCCTTACAGCTACCAATAGTGAAATAAGTTGCCCCCAACCCCCTTAGATTACCTAAATAGTCAGCCCAGTAGGAGAGCTAGAAAAACCCTAGTCAAACATCCAAGC